TTTTTTCTTCCCATCATTCTGGTACAGCTTAATCTTAGTTTCATCCATCCAAAAAATGCTTTTCCAGAGCTGGTCTGGCTTTTTTAGATGTTTTTTGGCAAAGTCTAATTGGCTTTTCAATTCTTCAGGCTTATGAATGGTTTGCACCTTCTGGTGAACCCTCTGTATTTGCTCTCGTGAAGTTTTCTCTTGATTGTAGACTTTGGCAATGATACGCCCACCTACTGGAAAGTGTCCTTCACTTGTCTGGATGTTGCGGATGGGTTTTTCTTTACCAGAGAGAGAATCCTGCGATCATCCACCACTGTTGTCTTCCATGGATGTCCATGCCTTTTTATGTTGCTGAGCTCACCAGTGCATTCTTCTTTCTTCAGAATGTTCCAAACTGTTGATTTGGCCACTCCTAATGTTGCTGCTATCTCTGATGGACTGATGTGAATGTACAATATATATGTAAAGTGCTGCGTAAATTGGCAGCGCTATATAAGTACCTGAAATAAAAATAAATAAATAAATTATGGATTTGTTTCGTTTTTGAAGACTTTCAATGGCCTTTTTCACTTGCATGGACAGGTCCTTTGAACACATGATGTAGTTTCACAGCAATAGATTCCAAATACAAATACCACACTTAAATCAACTCCAGACCTTTTACCTGCTTAATTTCTGAAGAAATAACGAAGGAGTAGCCCACACCTGGCCAGCTTTTGATTCAACTGTCCAGTTACTTTTGGTCCCTTGAAAAAGGGGGGTTGGCTATGCACGATCGCGGCGTCAGACCCCAGCCCTTCTCACCAAACTTGTGACCGAAGGACTAGCCGATCTAAAACCGCGATGTCACGTGCGTAACAATGCCACACCCAGCTGCACCCTGCACAACAATTTTCCAGCTAATTGGACCACAATCGATGTACCGGCAGCCTGAGCGATTGTTACTGGGTCAGGCTAAATACGCAATTAACCCTTCACACTGCCACCACCTCCTTTTTGTACAGAGAAAGAGGAAAACTCGGCGATATCAGTTATAACACTATAATGGTTGAGGCAACACGGTTATACAGAGGGTTAAACAAACACAGCAGCGTTCTCTTTAGAGGCAGGAATTCGTAAATTGCAATAAAGTGCTATAGAAACAGTTTAACACTTTTAGAAGGAAAGATTTATTACTAAAAGGTCAAACGAGTGCAATAAAAAATATTTACAGAAAAAGATGTAACTAAGATATATATATATAAAAATATACAGAGACTAACAGCACAGCAAAGAGATATCAGAGAGAGGTGAAAGGGTTAAGGTACTTGCTAAAGTCCTGGGTTAGCAGATCCAAGTTTCAGAGCAAAAAGGCACAGGTCTCGCCAGGTGGTACTGATGTTAAAATGGGAGACGTCTTCAACTCAGCTCTCTTAGGCCTGACAACCCATTTTGTAGCTCCCCAGCAGGGGGTATCTCTGAAGTCAAGGACCAATACCCCATTTAGGGAGGGGTCGTCTGGGCGTAGACCTAAACTAGAGCCGAAGTCTCTTGTAACTCATATTTTGGCCCATAACTTTCCATCTGCAAAAGTGACATTCCACCCGCGGGTAGATTATTATGCAGACACTTCTGAGGATTGATTAGATATGAATTATGAAATTATACACTGAACGGTTCACGAGATTATTTTTCGGCTTTCCTATGTATCCGAGACAAGGCGAGTGACCCACCAAATCGTTCGTCTTCTCTTAGCCAATCTGACGATATATCTGGTTTTTATGTAAATCTCTCATATTCCAAGATATGAGACATAGGGAAAAAATGGATTTTTAAAAGTGTTAGCTGGTCCCGCCTTCCTTGGAATATCTTGAACTCCGGGAAAGCTTGCCTTATCTTATACAAGGTCTTATATTTTACAGGTTCTTTGGACAGCAAGGCCCCGTTTCAGAGAGGTGTTTTATAGCTCTGGGCTCCCTGCTGGCTCTAGCCTGCCAGTGACCCACAACCAGATGTCATTGTGGCTGAACAGAGAGGCAGGGAGAGAATGAGGGGTGTGGGGGGGGAACATGGAGAACTCTTAACAAAATGGAGGACTGCGTCAGTCTCTGGTGCGCACGTTTGTGACAGGCTACTGTTAAGAGCTGTAATTTTTAAACCATTACTCCAATTTGGATGTACATACCCTCAAATTAAACTTGATAGTGTGCACTTTCAGCCCATATCCATTATATAACAATAGTTTTAATATGTTTTGGTAAATACATGAAAAAAACTAAGATTGTGCCTGTGTCCAAATATATATAGACCTAACTGTATATGGACTTAAATGTATATGAGCATATTCAAAAGCTCTCATAGTTAGACTATTGATCATACTGTGGTCTGTTTATTTAGTAAGGATCACCTTAGACATTTGAAAGAGAAGCAGTACTGATACACTTAAAGTGGTTGTAAACCTTAGACATGAAATATGAATAAAGCATATCCTTCTATAGTGTATACTTGTCTCAGTTAAGAGCACTAAGTGTCATTTCTGTCTCCTGCTTCATTCTTTTGCTATCTGCATGAGTAACTTCTGATGATTTTTCCTGACACCAAGAGAAAAATGGTCACAGGGGAGGGACCTCCAGCAGATTGCCATCCTCAGCTCTGTTCTTGTGAGTTGTGTGAAGAGGGGTGTGTCCCTTCCCTTCAAACAGCTCCCAGAGCTCTCTTCACTGAGCTCTGCAGTGTGTGATTTCTGCTCTCCACCCTGAGCAAGCGGTTTTCTTTCCTGCAACCCATGGTTACTGAAAAGAAAATTACATCTTCTATGGCCTGCTTTAAAACAGATCTTGCACTACAAGCAAGAGCTGCCTATTTGTTCACAGCCCCACCCCCAAGCCAAAATGCTGTCGGTGCTGGAATTTGTTTCTTGATCAGCCAGATTTCCCAGGCACATATTTTAGGTGTATAAAGTAGAATTTGAAAAAATGGACTTTATGGGCACATACACTCCAAAAGACTTAATTAAAAAAAAGAACTTCTTTATCTTTAATACAGTATTTAAAAAGAAGAACATCAATCTATAAAGACTTCTATCAAGTAAATTACATAATAAAAATAGCAACCTAGATAATTGGAATAGGTTACCCTCTACAATCACAATGCTAGTATGGTACCCAAATGCCACCAATATCTGTAGTGCTTGTTCTTTTCCAAGATAGGGAATTTTTAAATTCCAATTGTAGCTTGGAAGCAACTGGGAACAGCAGCAACTCATCCACGAAGTGGTAGGCCACATAAAATGACATAGCGGGGTCAGCACATGCTGAATCGCACAGTGCGCAGAAGTTGGCAACTGTCTGCAGAGTCAATAGCTAAAGACCTCTAAACTTTGTGTGGCCTTCAGATTAGCACAAAAACAGCACATAGAGAGCTTCATGAATGGGTTTCCATGACCATCAGCTGCATCCAAGCCTTACATCACCAAGTGCAATGCAAAGTGTCAGATGCAATGGTGTAAACTATGCCCCAACTGGACTCTAGAGCAGTCACGCTTCCCTGTCTGGCAGTCTGATGGACATGTCTGGCTTGGCAATTGCCAGGAGAAAGGTACTTGCCTGACTGCATTGTGCCAAGTGTAAAGTTTGGTGGAGGGGGGATTATGGTGTATGTGTGGGTGGGGGGGGTTCAGGGGTTGGGCTTGGCCCCTTAGCTCCAGTGAAGGGAACTCTTAAGGCATCAGCATACCAAGACATTTTGTAAAATGTAATGCTCCTAACTTTGTGGGAACAGTTTGAGGATGGCCCCTGTCAGGAATGGACTTGCCAGTAATGGTGGAACTCACCTGCCTTGTGGGCTGCAGTACCAGGGCTGGCCAGCAGGTGCTCTCAGCAATCAGAGACTCAACCCTGCAGTCAGCCAAACACCTGAAGCTGATTACAGAGGTGTATTTAAGGGATGGCCAGACTTGCAGTCTGGGCCTGTGTGTGTGTTTTTCCATGGGCCCCTGTATCTTGTTACCTGCATTCCTGTTCCTGCCTGACTGACTTGTTGCCGACCCTGCTTGATCCTGACCTCTGCTGACTTCTCCTGTTTGATCTCTGGCTTGTGACCCCAAACATTCTATGCCTGACCCCCTGTACCTACCTGTCCGTTAGTTGCTGTACCCGGCTCGTGACCTGACTACTCTCTGCCTGCTCCTCCTGTTCATACCTGCCCGATTGTTATTGACCCGGCCTGCCTGACTATGCTTGCATTGTATGTATTGTTATCTGTGGGTGGTTTGGTTCGTTTGCACTGTGTTTATGTTTTAGTATTGCACTGCGTTTTGTATTGTTAGTATTAATAAATTATATTGTTTATAACATATCTGAAGCCTGCGTTTCCCTGTGTCAGTTCACATACCTCTGGTCATACCCGGAGCCCCTGACATTACACCAAGGCCCATCCTGGCCAGAAGTGGCTGCACAGGGAAGCCATCTTGGCTTGTTGCTGGGAAGGATGGATTTTGATGAGGTTGTGTATTTTGTCGCTGCTGGTTTTTGATGACAGAGAATATGCTTATCAGACTCTGAGGGAGTATACCCGGGATCAACTGCTAGAATGTATACGGATCGCTCATGTTCTAGTAGATCAGGGCACAGAGTTCTCTGAGGTGCAACCTTTGATTCAGGTTTGTGTAGAGTTGGCTTCATCTGGTACCCCTGAAAGCAGGAATGACTTTTTGCCACCATTTAGTGCAGACCAGGTAGAGTCCCTGGTATGGTTATTAGAGGATGATGTGGATTGCTTCTTGGAGCATTATGCTGCATGTTCACCACAGGTATTAAGGGATTGTATAAACGCAGTGCAGTCTTTGATCAGACAGGCTTTGTGTAAGCTCAGCTTTGTTCAACCCATACTGCAGACATGGTCAGAATTGTTGCCCCCCAGCCTCAGTCAGCTTGCAACGTCATTCCTCTGCTCAAGGCACTCTTCCTGCATCCCCGACAGCACCCCCAGTGACGGCCCAGTATACTCTGCTAACTACCACATACCAGTCCCCTGCTCCCACTCGCTGCACCTATCCTTTCTTTGGCCCTGTGGAGAGGTCCTCTGTGGCGGCTGCTCCCTCCTCTGTTCCATCTTCCAGCTCTTTTCTGTCTTCAGCTGCTCCATTCGTTTGCAGACCTGCGTTTACTTGCAGTGCTCCAGTAGTTAAAACCAGAAAAAAGCGAAAATTCTTTCCAACCAGTACCATCCTGCCAGTATCCAAACCGGTGAGCCTGCCGTCTGAGAACCTGCCTTCCATGGTTCAGCCTGGTGCCTCGGCACCCGCACTTCAGCCTGATGTCTGTACCCAGCCTGATGTCTGTACCCAGCCTGATGAACTGATCCAGCCTGATGATCCTATCACGCCTGATGACCCAGTGCCCGCTGTCATACCTGGTGACCCGATGCCCGCTGTCGAGCCAGACGATCCAATGTCTGACCCAGTGCCCACGGTCATGCCAGTTGACTCGGAGCCCACTGTCGTGCCTGGTGACTCTGTGCCCACTGCCTTGCCAGATGACGGGATGCCCGCTGGCGAGCCAAATGACCTGATGCCTGGTGACCCGATGCCCGCTGTCGTGCCTGATGACCCGATGCCTGTCGCTCCACCTGGGGGCCCGGTGCCTGTCGCTCCGCCTGGGGGCCCGGTGCCTGTCGCTCCGCCTGGGGGCCCGGTGCCTGCCTCCCGCCTGGGGGCCCGCCTGGGCCTGGGGGCCCGGCGCCCGCCGCTCCGCCTGGGGGCCTGGCGCCCGTCGCACCGCCTGGGGGCCCGGCGCCTGTCGCTCCGCCTGGGGGCCCGGTGCCCGCTGCTCCGCCTGGTGATCCGGTGCCCGCTGCCCCGCCTGGCGGCCCGGTGCCCGCTTCTCCGCCTGGTGGCCCGCTGCTCCGCCTGGTGGCCCGGTGCCCGCTGCTCCGCCTGGTGGCCCGGTGCCTGCTGCTCCGCCTGGTGGCCCGGTGCCTGCTGCTCCGCCTGGTGATCCGGTGTCCAGCCCGATGTGCCTCTGCCCGGAGTCCAGCCCGATGTGCCTCTGCCCGGAGTCCAGCCCGATGTGCCTCTGCCCGGAGTCCAGCCCGATGTGCCTCTGCCCGGAGTCCAGCCCGATGTGCCGCTGCCCGGAGTCCAGCCCGATGTGCCGCTGCCCGGAGTCCAGCCCGATGTGCCGCTGCCCGGAGTCCAGCCCGATGTGCCAGTCTTTGATATCCCGCCAGTTACCAGACCCGGGCGGTCGAACAGTTTGCCCAGCTAGGACTGTTTGGAGCATCCTGAGGCCGCTCCTTGTGGGGGGGTACTGTCAGGAATGGACTTGCCAGTAATGGTGGGACTCACCTGCCTTGTGGGCTGCAGTACTAGGGCTGGGCAGCGGGTGCTCTCAGCAATCAGAGACTCAACCCTGCAGTCAGCCAAACACCTGAAGAGCTGATTATGGAGGTGTATTTAAGGGATGGCCAGACTTGCAGTCTGGGCCTTGGTGTGTGTTTTTCCATGGGCCCCTGTATCTTGTTACCTGCATTCCTGTTCCTGCCTGACTGACTTGTTGCCGACCCTGCTTGATCCTGACCTCTGCTGACTTCTCCTGTTTGATCCCTGGCTTGTGACCCCGACCATTCTATGCCTGACCCCCTGTACCTACCTGTCCGTTAGTTGCTGTACCCGGCTCGTGACCTGACTACTCTCTGCCTGCTCCTCCTGTTCCTACCTGCCCGATTGTTATTGACCCGGCCTGCCTAACTACGCTTGCATTGTATGTAATGTTATCTGTGGGTGGTTTGGTTCGTTTGCACTGTGTTTATGTTTTAGTATTGCACTGCGTTTTGTATTGTTAGTATTAATAAATTATATTGTTTATAACATATCTGAAGCCTGCGTTTCCCTGCGTCAGTTCACATACCTCTGGTCATACCCGGAGCCCTGACAGCCCCTTTCTGTTCCAACATTACTGTGCACCAGTGAACAAAGCAAGGTCCATAAAGATATGGATCAGTGAGTTTGGGGTGGAGGAACTTGACTGGCCTGCACAGAGTCCTGACCTCAACCCGACAGAACACCTTTTGGATGAATTTGAGCGGAGACTGTGAGCCAGGCCTTCTCATCTCAGTGCTTGACCTCGCAAATGCGCTTCTGGAAGAATGGCCAAACATTCCCATAGGCGCACTCATAAACCTTGTGGACAGCCTTCCCAGAAGAGTTGAAACTGTTATAGCTGCAAAGGGTGGGCCACCTCAATATTGAACCCTACTGACTAAGACCAGGATGCCATTAAAGTTCATGTGTGTGTATAGGCAGGCATCCCAATGCTTTTGGCAATATAGTGTATATCAGTAGGCCAAGTTAGACATTGGGGTCATGCCCCTAGTTGTTGCCAGAGGTAAAGTCCAGCTCTAAAATTTAAGTAAGAATGTACCCAAAGTAAGTGTCAAAATAAATAGCAGTGGCCATATAATATACATCTGCTGTTGCCATGCATGTGTGTCACAGATACCTGCCTCCTATGGCCCTCATGCTTGCTTGTCCACCGCTACCTCAAACAGGTGCACGCTTGGATGGATACTCTCACACTGCCACCATGCTCCTGAGCATAAGTTGCCCCTACCGGGGCACACACTTCTAATGGTCTCTGCTCCTCCTTGCCATACTCAATTTATAACTGTTATTTTACATTGTGAGTAAAAATTGTTTTAATATTCAGAGATATCCATTGCTTGTAATAGATGCATGTATAGTAAAACTGTGTTGTGCACTTCCTTACATAGATGCAACAATGTATCTCCTGAGGAAGCAACCTTTTGTTGCAAACCATGTAGAGTAAGCTACAACTGAATTTTAAAAATCCCCCATCTTGGAAGAGAACAAGCACTACAGATAGTTGTGGCCTTGGGTACCATACTGGCATTGTAATTGTAGAGGGTAACCTATTCCAATTATCTAGGTTGCTATTTTTGTTACGTGATAGAAGTGTTTATGGATTGCTGTTCTTTTTAAAGATTGCAAAAAAGTTAAAAAAGGTTTTTAAAAAATATGTCTATTGGAGTGTACGTGCCTATAAAGTCCATGATTTTTCAAATTCTAATTTATACATTGACTTAGGATGTGGCACAAGTTACTATTACAAGCTTCCACATTCCCTTGGAGAGAAGTTGATCACTAGGTCAACTTGAATGGCAATGGCCACAGATGGATCAAAATTCACCCAGTCTCTACTGAACCAGTAGATCCATTTGGAGTACTCAGGATCTTGCTGGAAGCATGGCAATGTCATTCTTGCTTAGATGCCACGAAAAGCAGGATGAGGTAAGTATATTTACTAATTCCCAGTTCAGGAAATGAAAAATTGCCTTGTTAAGCTGTGAAACATCTTTAACCTAACAGAACAAGTGTAGATGAATGTGACTAACACTACCAGATACTACATAACACATCCACAAACCTGCCAACCATTACCTCACATCTGGTTAGGGATTCTTTACATGGTAATCTTTGTTCAAATGGCCTCTTCTTATACTGACAGATTGCTAGCCTGTTACATATTCCCTTCTGTTTCGACCCAGTTATCAGAACACACCAGCAATGACCTGCTCTGTACATCTGTGTCAGCTACCATCTGCAGGGACTCTAACTTCCTATGCACCACTTCCAACATGGAATCTAAAGGGGCATCTGCAAGGGCCCCAGTATGCCTCCAAAGGTATACTCTACTGTTGCTCACCACAACTCCATGGTTCCCAAATAGACATTCTAAATTTCTCCTGTGGGTGTGCTTCCATGAAGGATGTTTCGAAAATTAATTCCTGGACATACTAGCTACATTATCATCAGGGCACTTACCAAACCTGGTATCATGAAGTGTATTATCAGGACTCCTAAGGAGGGGCATCACTCTGTAAGCTCTTCCAGCTATATGGCCTTTATGAAGTTGCACATTGGAATTACTCCACAACTTACTGCACCACATGCAACACACTTGCTTTCATGCATTGTCAGGGCTTTTCATGCAAAATCTTCCTGCATGAGGCTGTGGTGGTGAAATCCTGTATAGGTACAGAAATCTCCCTCATTGAGTACTCCCAGCTGTAACTACAGCTGTATATACATACACTGCCTGTGAAAACAGGCAGCCCTGAAGCTCAAAACTAGTGATGCAAGCACTGCCTCTGTTGAGTTTACTGTGCATTTCCCACCATTTGGCATAGTGCACTGTGAACAACGTTTTCTTAATGACTAGCAGTACAGTCATTAAATACACAATAGATTGTAAGCTCTAATGAGCAGGGCCCTCTGAATCCTCCTGTATTTGTATTGTAATTGTTCTGTCTGCCCTTATGTTGTAAAGCCCTGTGTAAACTGTCAGCACTATATAAATCCTGTATAATAATAATAATAATACACACAATACATCACAACACAGTGAACCCTAAAGCACTGCAGTATAAGTCTGGATGGGTTCTTTAGCTCAAGTCCATGCTAGTCAAACAATTTCAAATATCAGTCCACTGAATCTGTGAGTAAAAAATGCTCAGGTTGTCATTTCCCACATACTCACCGCTGTGCAATTCAATCCTCTTCTGCACTGAATGTCACTTAACATCATTCAACCCACTTAATTTCCAATATATGTGAATTTGTAACTTTTGTTATAATAATAACTGGTGACCTTGCCATGAAGTTCCTTATTGAGACATTTTCTCTTATAGGGTTCTGCCCCTGTCTGCCAAGTGTACTACTGCGATATCACATACTCTCCCAACAGAAACAAGTGGCTGTTTCAACACAATCCACATGTAGCACTTCCCCCTTAAGGGTTGCTAAGAAGTTTTTTTCTGTTCCTTGTCAATATGAACCTCTTGTGGCAAACCCAACCTCTGCTGACATCACCATGCTCCTGTGGCCAAAGTAAATCACAACTGTAAAATGGACTCACACACAAGTTCGTGTAAACCAATGCGAGGTTTATGTTGGAATTAAAGGTATCTTGGTCAGAAAGAACAAAATGACATTGATAAGTGCAGCAAATATAACCACTCTTGGTAACTGTGAGCAAATGTAACGGCATTCACCATAAAGCAACGATAACTGTTAGCAGGCCTGCTTTTAGAAAGAATCCACTGCCTCCAATCTGAGGAAACTGCTGAATCCCCACTGAGCAGAAAACAACTAACAAGAAACAGGTAAGCTCATGGTGGGTCCTCAGAACTAGATAACAAGGATTAAATGTGAAGGAAAGTGAATTCTCAGTTGAAATTGAGCACTGTCCCTTTAAGAACACTACAATGTGTTCTGTGTGCTCCTTGGTGGCCAGTTGGCATGAAGTTGAGTTGAGGTGTGGGATAAAGTTTCTTGTGATGGCAACACAAAGATAGTGAAGGAACAAATGAGATTTAACATCTTTCCTCTTGGTGGTAGTGAATTAGGGCAAGGTCCGCTTTAAAACACTCAGCATGGAGCAGATTTGGAGTAATGAATAGCAGCAATTGGCATGAATGTGTATAGGCAAAGACAGTTTCCTTTTGTACATCAAAGGCAAAAGTTAACAGTAATGGGAATCCTGCTCTGTTGAGGAAGAGAAACTTGTTGTTTCAGTGGAAACTGCTATATCCTGGCCTGCAACTTGTGTATCCTGCCATCAGCTTGTACAAGAAACTGCAATGTAGATGTATCTCAACAATGGTGACTGCGTGAACTAGGCTGCATACTGAAGCAACTACATGTAATGTTCACAACTATGTGTAGGTAGATAGCTGGGATGGCAACTGTCATTATTCACTTGATTGGTGGGTGCATGGGTCTCTCTCACCACCAGATTAAGTAGTACAGTGGCTTGTAGCGGGCAGTCTCTGTAAACGGGGTCAGGCCATGGATTTTCCGGCTCAGACTCAACATCCCGTCTGCTCTCCTGCTGTCAGATTGGCCTGCTGGGCAGTGTGGCAGACTGGGTGGTCAGTAGGCACTTTCCGCTCTTTCTCTCCCTCCAGCTCCGGAGCCTAGTCCCGAACTTCAGCTGTCAGCACACCTTCTCTTTTAGTCTCTCCCAGCACTCCCCTGGCCAAGCCTCTGGGGTTTGATATTTATATGACCCCAGCCACATGATACCTCTCTTGGGAAATGTAGTCCCTAGTTGTCCAGCTCAACAGGTAAGTCCTGCTATACAGCATATAAGTTCCAGAGGGCGGTTCTCTCCATGTGAGTGACCCTGAATGGCAGGCCACCACCATCTAATGTCCATATTAATGTACTGCAAGTAATCACATTTCAACCATCACCGTCAGATGACCCACCATGAAAAAGCCACAAGACATCACTGGAATAAAAGCAAAAACAAAAGTAATTCTGTGCTAATTTATATACGATTATAAGTGGTCCCAAGTGACACTTCCTAATTCAGGATGGATATTTATTTTCTGTAGACCTTGAAGCTCTCAAAATCAGCACAAAGAAACACTTTTGGTCAAACCTTTAAAACGAAATACATAAAAAAGTGAGAGTGCACTGAATATCAGATGACTCACATGGGGTAAGTACAAACAGCACATATGCTGTACACAGCCTTGATGAGGTATAGAGCAGGGATGAGCTTGGGGGTTGGGTTGACCATGAGTTTGACCTGAACTCAGGGCATTTAAAGTTCAGTAAAATGGTGCAGAAAAACTACTTTTTGTTCCCCATGTGATTAAAAAAAAAGATGGGTAAAAAAAGCATTAACAAATTGACACCCAAGCAATTAAATCACTCCCTAAAAAAATGTTCAATACCCCCACCCCCGCCAAATACAGGCACACACAAACATAAACACGTGTCAAGACACATGAGAATGTTGTTTGTGCTCCACGTTGCATAATGCTGTACACACTGATATGACAAATAATTCAGGGCCATTATTCACAGTTAAAGCTAAACTGATCATCTGTAGGGACTTCTAAAGCATGACCTATGGAAAACTTAAGATACGAATGTTTGTTGCTATTTCACAGGCATGCACAATTTTAAGGCTTGACATTTTGGTATCTTCCTGATGCTGAACTTTGGAGCTGTGGCGGTTAACAGCTTCAGGTCTCAGGCTGCACTAACAATGATCCAATGGAGTGTGCAGCTCCACAAGAGTTAACGAGGCCCTCAGCTGCTCAAAAATCCTCCTCTGGGAACACACAGCAGCCTTAGTCTGATGAAGAACCTTCAGATGATGAAGGGGTAATTGAAGAATATAAGTGTATATAAAACCGTGATAAATACCTTTTTTCATTATCTCTGTTCTCAGCTGCATAAGGGACTTAGAGAGACGGGAGATGAAAACTCCTTTTGATAGTGTGCAGGGGGGTCAACCGCAGTTTGAACAGAGCACAGGCACAGTCCTGAGTAAAATGCAGAGACAGAAATACACTCCTGAGGTGGCATGTCATCAGGAGACAGAGAAATAGCAGTACACTGATCTTCCTAGTGATTACCTGTGCAGGGGGCATGTCAGCAGAAGTCTGACCACTGGAGTAAACACAGACTGTGCTCTCAAGAAGATGCAAATTGACCACACTGTGATGGTTGTGCTTCAATGCCTGCTGTGGTCAGTCTAAAATAGGAAAGCAGGGGGACTGGCAGGATCACCAGGTATTTCATACAAAGGAAGCAATGTAAACAGAACAGGATACTTTTTATTGCAAGTACATGGTAACAAAGGCACATATAGATATGAAATGTTGGGGTAATATACACTTTAACCACCTTTCACCCGCCATATAGTCCAATGACGGGCGCAAGGTGGTTCTCTTGTTCTGGGAGGACATCATATGACGTCCTCCCATTCTTACCGCGCATGCGCGGCTCAGGGAGCGCGCGGCGATCGGCGGTGTGCTGTGTCCCTCGGACACAGCGGATCACTGATCACAGAAAGAGCCAAAGATATTTGCTTGGTCATGTGATCAGCTGTGTCCAATCACAGCTAATCGCATGTAAACAGGAGAATGTCGGTTATCGGCATTTCTCTCCTCTCGAGCTGTTATGCTGACAGCTCGAGAGGAGAGACGGTAATCGGCTTTTCGCGGAGGAGACATGTACACTGATCATCAGGGCACTGATGATCAGTGTAGCCCCAGCAGTGCCACCTGTCAGTGTCCATCAGTGCCTTGTGTCAGTGCTCATCAGTGCCTTGTGCCAGTGCCACATCAATGCCACATATCAGTGCCTACCAGTGCACATCAATGCCACATATCAGTGCCTACCAGTGCACATCAATGCCACATATCAGTGCCCATCTGAGCTGCCTTTCAGTGTCACCCATCTGTGCCAGTCGGTGCCACCTATCAATGCCAATCAGTGACACCCATCAGTGCAACCTACCAGTGCCTCCTCATCAGTGCCCATCACTGCAGCCTCATTAGCGCACATCAGTGAAGGAGAAAAAATCACTTATTTACAAAATTGTATAACAAAAACTAAGAAAAAAACATTTTTTTTTTCAAAATTTTCAGTGGTTTTTGGTTTGTTTAAGAAAAAATAAAAAACCCAGAGGTGCTTAAATACCACCGTAAGAAAGCTCTATCTGTCACAAAAAAATGATAAAACTTTCATATGGGTACAATGTTGTACGACCGCGCAATTTTCATTCAAAGTGCAACAGCACTGAAAGCTGGAAATTGGCCTGGGCAGGAAGGGAGTATAAGTGCCATGTAGGCTAGTGGTTAAGGAGGTTGCAAATCCAAAAAGTATTTTCCTGTTCTCATTAGAAAGGAACCAACTTTCCCTCTGAAGAAATCAGAGAACTCATATTGGAATAGTGGGCACATAACTGTTTCTTTAGGCTTTATCCGCTGTTGGATTCAGATACCCAGCTCTTTTGATGATTACCTCCTGTGGTAAATGCTTCCATCATGCGTCTAGCCAGAAATACTATGTTGCCATTGGAAGATGTGATATTCAAGTTTATACAGCTTGGAGATGGACAATATGCATAAAAATGATGATTTGGTCAAAATACTCACTTTCCTAATAATTGTGCACACAGTGCAAGATGGAAGAACAATTATCATGTTCCTTTTAGTGGCCTGATTACAAGAAACATGTCAAGAACTATGTGATTTTGTGTCTGACCTGTGCACGCAATAAGACACCCCAGTCTTCTCCTTTGAGGTTGCTTCAACCACTTCCTGTTCCATTAGGACCATGGGGGTCAATTTCTATGGACTTCGTGGATGATCTTCTTCACTTAAAAGAGATAACCACTATCGTGGTAGCCAATGACCATCTCACTAAAATGGCTAATTTTTGCCTGTTACCTGGTACCCTATGCTGAACAAACTGCAGAGTTGATGATTCGAAAAGTCTTTAAACTACATGGAATTCTTAAAGAACTGGTGTCTGACAGTGGAGAACAATTTACTTTGAAATTTTGCATAAGCTTTTGGTATAACAATTAACCCATCTTTTGCTTTTTATTCTCAGTCTAATCGTCAGACACAAAGGACCAAACTTTAGAGCAGTATCTTGGATATTTTGTTAGTTATCTTCAGGATGACTGGGTGCACACATTAAAACACTCTGATCATCTCCTTTGGGGTTGCTTCAACCACTCCCTGTTCCATCAAGACCATGAGGGCTAATTTATATGGACTTCATGATTAATTTTCCTCCCTAAAAGAGTTGACCACTATCTTGGTAGCCGTTGACCGTCTCTGGCTCATTTTATACCTGTTACCCTCTTCTGAACAAACTGCAGAGTTAATGGTTCAAGATGTTTTAAACTACATGGAATTCCTGATGAAGTGGTGTCTGATAGAGGAATACAGTTTACTTCAAAAATTTGTAAAAGCTTTTGCTCAGCTTTTGGTGTAACAATGAATCTATCTTCTGCTTTTCATCCTCATTTTAACGGTCAGACCAAGACAATCAATCAAACTTTAGAGCAGCATGTTGGATATTTTGTTAGTTATCTTTAGGGTGACTGCATGGACTATCATCCTACAGCAGAACTTGCTTATAACCATTCTAAACATAGCTCCACTTCGCAAAGCCCTTTTTTCTTAAATACCAGGTATCATCCAGATTGTATTCCTGATCTCCCTATCTCACCTCCAATCCTTGCTGTTACCAACAGATTTAGAGGAATTTGACTGATACTTTGAAGGAGGCTCAAGAGTATTAAAAGAAGGCTGTTGACAGATATTGCAGATCACTCCCTACTTTTCATGTGGATGACAAAGTTTGGTTATCTACCAAACATTTGAAGATTCATGGGCCATTTGTTGAGCTGTGTCAAAGGTTTGTGGGACCTTTTTAGATTTCTGCCCAAATCAATCCAGTCACCTTTCACTCCTGACAGTATGAAGATTCACCCAGATTTTCACATGTTGTTACTCAAACCATTTCATAGCAATCCTTTTTTCTGGAAGAAATCTTCCACCTCCTCCAGCTGTTGAGGTACAAGGTGAAGAAGAATTTGTGGCTGAGAACATTCTTGATCTTTAGGAATAAATTACAATACCTGTTTGAATGGGAAGGTATGGGCCAGATGAAAATTCTTGGGACCCAGAAAAAGAATGTTCCTGCCCTTAGATTAACAAGAGAATTCCACCAGAGGTTTCCTCACAAACCTGGCCCAGGGGATGTCCTGGGAGGAGGGTAGTACTGCCAGGACCCGCACCTGAAAGGTAGCACTTTAGAGTTCTGGTCATATCCAACTTATGCAGTTTCGTAAAATCTTGTTCATCTGGAAAAAGTGGCAATGCCCAGTTTTTATTACAATGGACCACAGATGCACCTTAGAGACGAATTAATGGATTGGTTGCAAAACAATTGTATCAGTAAAAACATGATATAAGGGTCTTAACATCCAAAAGTATTTCTGAAATACTCCAAGCTGATGTAATAGCTACCAAGAGGGAAGCATCGGGAGTAATGCTTTCTAGTGGACATTCCTCCTTTGCAGCAAATGGAGCCAAGGAAAGGAAATGCAAAAGCAAGGAAAGGTCCCACTTGGGATACAGGTCTTACCTGGGCAGCCTAAGCCAAAGGAATGCTTTCAGAAATCTCTCTAATAAAAGATTGAATTCCCATCTTATGTCAGTGATATCAGACAGATGAAATCTTAAATTTGAATCTTGAGTCTCAGACAAAAGTCTAGTTCTGCATGTAAAAACTGTAGGATGCAATTTACTTCTGGAGACAGAGGATTGAAAACTCTACAATAAAAAGCATTCATCGAGAATTTTCTTGCCATGTCTCAACAACTGGAGGAAAACAACCCAGCTTTCTGCGCTCAATCTCCATGCTTTCATATTCACTGTCTGGATGGAAATGTATAAATTCCTCCTGGAACAGTAGTCGCATGGGTGACGGCTGAGGTAGAGGCAGTGGATTGCAAGTTGGCAGATGAGTTAGGAATGTGAACCAAGATTATCAAGATCAATATGGAATGACAGCTAAGATAATGACTGTCTACCCCACCAGGCATTGCAAAAATCTCTCAGCATCAAGGTTGTGGGGGGATTCACCTATCACAACTTAAAATTCCATAGCTGGGTCAGAGCATCCACTACCACTTCCTAACATGTATATCTGGTGTAAAATACAGGGAACCTGGCAATAATTAGAGAGTCAAAAAGGTCTGTATGGGGACAACCCTACCTCAGGTATATTGCTGAAAAGGCTTTTTTTGTTTACTTCCAAAAGTAACGTTTCAAAGTAGTCACAAGAACCCACTGAAAAGAGCACTGCCTGTTCCAGGTCTGACTAAGCTCCCTCAATCTCATGCCTACTGGACAGTCCTGGATGGCAAGGAGTCAAAAAGACTTCTGATTATTTTGAGTTAAAGAGGAGGTCTTGGGCTTTGCTGATTTAAAAAAGTGTCTTGTGATCCCTTCTATCCCCTTCTGAATTCTCTACCTGGCCAATAGGATGTGACATATTTAGATCTCTGTTGTAATTTTTTTGTGGTGAATCTTTTTCTCCTGTTCTTATCCCCATTTACTTTTCTGATGGCTGCATCGAACTTCTCACCGAATAATGCATTCCCATCAAAAGGAATGCAATACCATGTTTGCTTTAAAGAGGCCACCGCCACTGGCTTGAACCACAGAGCTTTTCTTGCAGTGGTGCTCTAGACTGATCGAATCTATATAGGCCTCCACCACAAAGTCAGCTGCTAACTTGGGTTCATCAAAAGCCACAATTATTTCAATGCCCTGATTAATGACTGCTTCAATATTGTCAGTTCATGCCCTGATTGTTCTAGACGCAGAAGTGAGGGATACTACTGTCTTGCAAACTACTCCTTTTGTTTGATATGTTTTTCTAAGATGATATTGGATGTCTTGGGAACATTGATTAGGATAATAGCATTTATCTTTATTAGCCTCATCTAACATGTTTACAGTTTTGTATTGTTATCTGCAGCATATCCCTAGCCACAAATGTAGCAAATCCACACTCTCTGACCCTCATTTCCTCTATGGTCTGCAGTTTCTGACAGTCCTCCCAAGTATTACATAACCTGAACATTATGTGCAGCCCTTTGGTAATGTCAGGGGCCTTATCCGAGGTTAACTGTGGGCAGCACAGTGGCTAAGTGGTTAGCACTTCCACCTGGCATCACTGGATCTGGGTTTGCTGAAACTCACATTTCTCCAGTTTGATGTAAAGTTGATTCTTCCTTAATCTTTCAAAGACACCGCAAACATGCTTGTGATGCTCTTCCAGGCTGTCAGAAAACATGAGAATATAATCCAAATAAACAAACACAAAGTGGCCTAACAGATCCCAAAAAACATAATTTTTGAAGTGTTGGAAAATTTCGGAGCATTGCAAAAGCCAAAAGGCATAACATTCAAAATGTCCACATCTGGTTCTAAAGGTGGTTTTCCATTCATCTCCTTGATGAATGCAGACAAGGTTATATGCCCCCCCCCCCCCCATAAATCTAGTTTGCAAAAGATTTTGCCAGAATTGAGTCTTTCCAACATTTCAGATTTTGATTCAAATCTCTGTAATTGATGCACAGGCGCAAGGTGGAGTCCTTTTTTTCAACAAAGAACAGGGTTGCACCTACAGGAACTGTTGAGTGTCTTGCAGTTCCCTTCTCTAAATTCTCATCAGGCCACTCACTGAGTATCTTTAATTCAGGTTCTGATGATTAAAAAGGCAAACAAAAGGTGTTTTCTGCCCCTGGAAGCAGTTCAGTGGGACAGTCATACAAGCGATGAGAAGGTAATTGATTTGCATTCTTTCTGTCACAGAAATCTCGGAACTCATGGTATTGAGGAGGAATGTTGTCATATGACTGGGTGGCTACCACATCAACTTGTGATTCCTTGATCATTGGGGAATTTGTTCAACAAGGTTCTCTGTGCTTTCCAGTTAATGGAGGGATTATGAGTAGGAAACCCAGGATGACAGGACATTTGGGTGATGTAATCAGCTGAAAGCTGATCTCCTCACAGTAGTTAGCCTCAAATTGGAGTACCAGAGGAACTGTTTCATGGGTCACAGATCCTGACAATGAAGGTGAGCCATCAACCATCTCC